GGGCCTTGCATTCCCGTCCCTTTGGCTCAGCCCGGGGTCTGCCCATATCTTCCTCGTGGCCTGCCTCCTCCCTTCACCCGCTCACTCCCCGGGGAGGCTGTCCCTGACCCCGGCTCTCACCCCTCCCTGGTCCCCTTCACAGAACCCATCACTGTCTGTTTATCAGAGTCTCATCAGCCTCTGCCTGGCAGGCAGCCTCCGCGAGGTCAGGACCTCATCTGCGTGTCTGCAGCACCACCAGGGCCCTGTGTTGGGGAGGTATCATCAAAAATCAATCTCCTGCCAACCCAGAAAAGGCTCTCCACAAAGCTGCCTTCTACAGGGCAATTATTAACGCCGCAGGTAGCCTGCAGTGCCATTTGGCCGTTAATTCGCTCTGGGCAGTCAGGGCTGGCTGTGGGCAGGATGGAGTTTTCCTGCGTAAATTACATCCTCGGCCTTCCTGGAGCTGCCTTTTTAAGGTTTATTTATTTTTGAGAGACAGAGAAACAAAGCACCAGCGGGGAGGGGCAGAGAGAGAGGGAGGCACAGAATCCGAAGCAGGCTCCGGGCTCCGAGCTGTCAGCACGATGACCATCTTCCATCACGGAGTCACCCAGGAGCCCAGCATACAGTCGTTTCTCAGTAAGTGTGAAATAAACAAATTCACCAGGAAAAACTTGGTTCTCGCGTCATATTTCTTTCAGATCGTGCTTGACACTGCGGCACCGGCCGCAGCGCACATCCCCCTTCCCATCAGACGAGTTTCTCCACGAGGAGAGGAGGTGGGAAGGATAGACGCGTTTCCACGTGCTCAGGAAGGGCAGGCTGTGATTTCAGAAAATGGAGTAAGATTCTTCTTTGATAGTGAGTCTCCGGAGAACAGGAAATACTGTCCTTGCGTCCGAGACTAAAACAATGTCGAGGAGGTCCATCAGGGTCCACCTGGCCTTTCTAGCCGCCTCCACAAACACCGCAGTAGCCCAGAGGGCTCTCCACAGGCTACCTGACCCAGACCCAGTGTTCCAAAATGAGCACACCCCTGACCATGACTGCCCAGGAGGTAGGACACTGTGTATGGAAGGAGGCTATCTAGCACAGTAGTGAATGCTTGCCTAGGGCGCCCTCGGTCATCACTTCCTTCATTAGACAACACGGACACAGGAATTAAAATTCTATTTTGGGGGGGCGCCTGGGAGGCTCAGTCAGTTAAGCATTCAACTTCAGCTCAGGTCATGGTCTCGCGGTCCATGGGTTTGAGCCCCGCGTTGGGCTCTATCCTGACAGCTGGAAGCCTGGAGCCTGCTTCGGATTCTGTGTCTCCCTCCCTTTCTGACCCTTCCCCGCTGTATGCATGCACTGTCTCTCTCTCCCCAAAATATACAAATATAAAAAGAAAAAAAAAATTCTCTCTCTCTCTCTCCCTCTGCCCCTTTCCCCTGCTTCTCTCTCTAAAAGTAAAAATATAAAAATATATTTTAAAACATAAAAATAAGATCTTAATAATAAAATAAAAATAAAGCTAGATTGTTGTGATGGTCGCACCATTCCATAAATATACTAAATATATATATTATACTATACTATACATAACTATACTAACTATATATAATATACTAAGGCCCAAGGTGCCTGGGTGCTCAGTCGGTTAAGCATCTGACTTCAGCTTAGGTTGTAATCTCACGGTTCCTGGGTTCAAGCCCCGTGTCGGACTCTGTGCTGACAGCCTGGAGCCTGGAGCTGCTTCGGATTCTGTCTCCGTCTCTCCCTGCCTGTCCCCCACTCAAACACACACACACACTCTCTCTCAAATATAAATAAAACATAAAAAATTAAAGTATATATATGTATATACATACTAGAATCCACTGAATTATACACTTAAGTGGGTGAACTATATAGTATCTATAAATTATATTTCAATCGGGCTGTTTTCTTTTTTAAAAAAAAGTTAAGAGTGGGTCTGGTACAGAAAATAGAATTAGAAAAGGCAGGACATATAGTGGGGGCATTGAAGGCCACTTCCCCTAACAAACGGACCTCTTGCCATTGAACCCAGCATTCCTCTAAGTCATCAAGAGTCTCTTCCAACAGAGGGAATCCAACAGCTGACAGTTTCCAGAAATTCTCATTCTGGAATGACTCTAAGGTACACGTACTCTGAAAACACTGCTGTGTGTCAGTGGGAAAGGGTGCATTGTGTACCAGACACCCCTCCAGCTTAGAGGATTTCAGCCTTCCACGGCCTTTGAACTATTTTATAGCTCTGTAAATTGCAGGCAGTTGATAGGCATGCAGATTCCGTCCTGTCTATAGAATGTTCCTTATCTCTGGGAAAAACCCATTTTGCCCCCATTTGCAATTCATCGTTAACAATCCTTACTCTATATTAATTTGTGCCTCTGCCCTTCTCTTTTATTTATTGTTATTTTTTAAAGTTTATTTATTTATTTTGAGAGAGACAGAGAGAGTGCAAGTTGGGGGAGGGACAGAGAAAGAGAGAGAGAGGGAGCATCCCAAGCAGGCTCCGAGCAACCAGTACAGAGCCCGACGTGGGGCTCAAACTCACAAACTGTGAGATCATGACCTGAGCCGAAGTCAAGAGTCAGTTGCCCAAGGGACTGAGCCACCCAGGTGCCCCTGTGCTTCTCTTTTAAATCAATATGACACCTGCCCGGTTTGCTTATGAGTAGAATAAAATCTTTAACATATATTCATGTTTCATAACTGTAGAAGAGTCGCAATCTTACCTTTTTCCAAAAATGACTTTTTACCAATTTTGTCTGCGTGTAAGGCCTCGTGCATCCTGCCGGGTGGTGTATAAAGACTAAAGTCAAAAGCCTCAAGAGGAGAGGAAAAGTCCACCTTACCTAACGTGAAACCATGGGGATGGCTAGAAACCCATTCGGAAAGTCTGTTTCCACTAGAACCTGTGTTTCTCTGGATCTCACACCGCACACAGCAGTGACCTTGGCTGGAACCCGAGAACCAAGAAGCTAGACGTCTGGATTATCCGCACCCCCCTCCCACCCACTCAGCGGGCTTTGAGAGCTCCCAGTTCAACCCACACCTGAGGTGGTGAGCGGCACTGACCGTGTTGGGCGGCTCAGCTCGCACCCAGGAGCCCATCTAGATGTCTACACTCCGTGGAGGGCAGAGAGAGAACATTGGCAGCCAGAGCCTTCTCCAAAAGCAGGGGGCGAAATGAAAGAGATATTCCTTGTAATCAAACCAGTGCTGAGGGTAAGAAAATGCCTTCCCCGCGTGCACTTCGTTTGTCTAGCATTGCAGATGGGCACCAGGGCATAGGGTAATTGCTTGTACCAAGTGCACCAGGGAACGCTCATCAATGAAGGGTTGGTTAAAGCAGAGTTATGACTTGACCCGGGTCTATTCAGAAAATATTTGTAGAGTCAGTGTATAGAGTCATTTACAGGTTAGGTGTGTTCAGGAAGAGAGGGAGGCTGAATCAGTAGTGAGAGGCACTTTTCTGCTCCCTCCCAGCCCCTCCCTTGGAACAGTGCCACGAGTCTGGCGTAGGGGACGGGGGCAGATGAAGCCCATCGTGAGTCTCTTACTCACGGCCACTCAGAAGCATGTTCTTACCCTTTTCATCCCGCCTGCGGAAGGCGGTTTAAACATTTATTGGTGCGTGGCCTGGGTGAAGGCCAAGGACGTTGGGTACAGGATGGGAAGCTATGCGATTCCGCCAAGTGCACTGTGCCGTGTGTGAATAATGAACCCAGGTCCTGAGACCTTCCGAGCTTATGATCCCGAGTCGCGTCTTTCCCATTTCAGCTGCTGGAAAACACCTGCGTGATTCAACATCCTGTAAGCGATATTTTGAAAATTAATAACCCGTGGGATTTTACGAAGGGCTGCGTCACTCAATTTTCTAAGACTTCTACAGCCAATCTCGGTGTTACTTCTCTGAGTTATACATTACCCCTAGGCTTTATGTTTTTTGTTCTTCAGATCAAAACAGAGTTAATGATTTCTCAGAGGTGTCCCTATGCAGCAGATAAGGATGCAAACTGTGGGTCAGGTGGAAGGGTCCCAGAGCTGATAGCTCGCTCTGTGATCTGGGGCAAGCTGCCTGCTCTCAAAGGCAACGTCCCCAACCACAAACGGGGGTTGATATCACTAACGGCTTGGGTGTCTGTGAGGGCGGTACTGCCTGTGCACCGTTCACAGTGCCCGGCTCGGAGCTCTCACCTGCTTATGTGCCACTCGTTGTTGTCACGGTCATGACTCTGGATGAGACGCAGGGAAGGTTGAGCCGAAAGACGGTAAATCAGTGGTTCTCAACTTGGCCACATGTTGGGATCACCTGGGGGAACTCAAAAATTACCCCTGCCTGGAAATATAGCCACCCCTTGGAGATTCTGGTTTCATTGGTGGGGGGAGGGGTACAGTCGGGGCACTGGATGTAGTAAAGCTTCCCAAGTGATTCTAATGTGCACCCAGCTCAGAGAGCTACGACTCTGAACAGTCTGAAGATGAGATACTCTCGTAACTCTGATCTACGGCTGCACAATGTTCTTTTAGGAAAGATTGCTAAAAGGTCTCAAAGCTAAGCAGATTCCCCATACCTTCCTTATAAAGGTCACGTTGAACTTGGGGGCCGTTCAAGGTGCTTCCAGACCATGCACTTGTCCAAGGTCCCCAAGGGTTTGGAACCCGATAAAAGTGAGGTTCCATATAACGTGTGCATGTCTCTCATAAAGCTCTACATGCAGAAATTGGCTTCGGAGACAAAGAGAAGGAAAGTAAACTTGTTTGAACAAAAGGAGTTTCTCTTCCTTCAAGCCACGCCAGCTTATAAGCCTCCACAAAGCAGGGAAGGCAGCCCCTCCTTTCGCTGGCAGACTCTGATAGACTCTGTGCCTACCAGAGTGGTTCATAGTCAAGACAAACGGTGTGCACTCCCTGGCCAGGAAACCTAAGCACTTAAACCACCCGCGGTCCACATCAAAGCTTCATGACATGCAGAACTTTCTCGCAGCACTGGAGCCACCGCCATGAGGACCTGCCTGCGTAGACTCGGTCGTCTGGACCAAGCTGTCCAATGGCTCTTGCTTTTGGCCGTGCTGCTCTCCTTATTCTTCATCCTGCCTTCCTTTATTAAGGAACCCAATACGAAACCTTTCAGGTAAGGTTCTGACCCCTTTCCAAATGCCTCAGAATTTATTAGAGGGAACGTGAAAGACTCTAGTCCAGGGAGGTGTGGAGAACCGCTTCATCGTCAGGAATGTTGTCAGGAAACACGGCAAGAAAGCTCCCAGGGGACCCCTGGGGGACAAGCAGGTGTCAGGGGTGGGAAAACCAAAAGGTCCGGATGTCTTGGGGCTGGCAGAGGGCAAATGTGGGCAGGAGTTTGAGAACTATGCGTCTGGGTCTCTGGAAGGTGTAGACAGAAAACGACTTCCTCCTCTGGGACCGTGAGTAATAACAAGCAGCTTCGGGGTGAGTTCCTACATGCCACTCGCTGTGTCCTAAAGCGAAAGATTTACCCCGCGGATTCCACTCCCTTCAAAATCATGCTCTCCCGGGGCGCCTGGGTGGCTTAGTCGGTTAAGCGTCCGACTTTCGCTTGGGTCATGATCTCGCGGTTCGTGGGTTCGAGCCCCGCGTCAGGCTCTGTGCTGACTGCCAGCTCAGAGCCTGGAGCCTGTTTCAGTCTGTGACTCCCTCTCTCTCTGACCCTCCCCTGCTCACGCTGTCTCTGTCTCTCTCTCCTAGAAAAAAAAAAAAAAAAAAATTAAAAAAATTCAAAATCATGCTCTCCCTGCGGAGTTTGTCAGAAAATGACCTCTCCCTTAGCTTGATTCTGGGCCCCAAGTTCATCCTTCAAAAGGACACTGTAGACCAGTTTTCTTATAAAATAAACACATCTCGGGCAGTGGAAGATCCCTTTCTTTCCATACTGAACTTTTTTTGAATGGGTTTATGTCGGGGCGCCTGGGTGGCTTAGTCGGTTGAACGTCCGACTTTCGCTTAGGTCATGATCTCGCGGTTCGTGGGTTCAAGCCTCGCATCGGGCTCTGTGCTGACTGCCACCTCAGAGCCTGGAGCCTGTTTCAGAGTCTGTCACTCCCTCTCTCTCTGATCCTCCCCTGCTCACGCTCTCTCTCTCTCTCTCTCTCTCTCCCCCCTAGAGATAAATTAAAAAAAAAACATTAAAAAAAAAAAAAAGAATGGGTTTATGTCACTGTTCTTAAAATTTGGAATACAGGCTCTCATAAAGTTTAGAAAGATACAGAAAAGTCAAGCAAGAAATGAGGGTCTGCCCATTACACCCCCATCTCTATCCACCCTTCTGGTGTGGCCACTCTTGATTCTTTGGTGTAGATATAAATGTCCCATCATCATAGCCAACATTTCTACAGCACCCACTGTATGCCAGGCTCTGCTCTAGCGCTTACTGTATATTAACTGATTAGTTCTGAGGATGGTGAGTCGACAGAGACACAAAGCTTAAGGAAACGCCCGAAGTAAACCCCACCAGGAAGTCACAGGGCCAGAATCCCAAACCTCGCATCCTGTTTCCATAGCCTGTGCTTTTTACCTGATGCTAGACACACCCTTGCAACAGATGGGCAAAGAGATAGTGGATAGAGAGGTAGACACATAGGCGAATAGGTAGGCATCACACTCAACATGTTGTTCCACAGGCTGACTTTTTAAGCCAACACTATGTCTTAGATATCCTTCCTTCCACGTCGATAACACAAATCTAGTCCCATCTTATTCACTGTGCATGATACAGATGTGAGTTTATTGAATCAATCTCTAGTGGTTGATGCTGGGTTCCCACTCCTTTCCCACACACCTTTGTGCACTTATGTAGGTATCTCTCTCTCTCTCTCTCTCTCTCAAAGTTTATTTATTTATTCTGAGAGAGACAGTGCACAAGCAGGGAAGGGGCAGAGAGAGAGGGAGAGAAAGAATCCCAAGCAGGCTCTGCCCTGTCTGCACAGAGCCCGAAGCAGGGCTCGAACTCATGAACTGTGTGAGATCATGACCTGAACCAAGGTCAAGAGTCAGTCACTCAACTGACTGAGCCACTCAGGCGCCCCACTGATGTAGGTATTTCTGTAGGTAGATTTCTAGACATGGGATTGCCATAGCAATGGGTATGTTCACATTAAGTGCCGACAGATGCCATCAGATCAACTCTGAAAAGGCTACAGTAACAGGTGTGAGTGTTAACTCTCTCCTCAGTCACCACACTGGATCGTTAATGCTTTTGAAGTTTTAAGAAACTGAGAGGTAAAAGGGTACCTGGGTGGTTCAGTCGGTTGAGCGTCCGACTTCGGCTCAGGTCATGATCTCACAGTTCGTGGGTTCGAGCCCCATGTCGGGCTCTGGGCTGACAGCTCAGAGCCAGGAACCTGCTTCAGATTCTGTGTCTCCCTCTCTCTCTCTGCCCTTCTCCCACTCGTGATCTCTCTCTCAAAAATAATCAAAATGTAAACAAAAATAAATTAAACTGAGAGGTGAAAATATGTTTCTCTGTTGAATTCGCATTTCTCAGGCCACTGTGAATTTGAGGATCCTCTTACATTTATTAATCATTTGTATTTTTTCTAACCGAGGCAGCCACACTCACTTGTATTTTTCTGTGACTGACCTGGTCATATCTCTTGCTCCCCTAAAAAAAAGAAAACTGAATTATTTCTCTTTTATTTACTTATAAGAGTTTCTCTTTTATTTAATTATTAAGTAAACCCCTATTTAATAATTAGGGATAGTAACGCTTTCCTATCATATCATTGTATCATCCTATCATCCTATCATTGTAACAACACTTCAAATGTTTTCTTCAGGCTAATATTTGTTTTTATTGCCTTGTTCATGCTCTCTCATGTCACACAACTACTTTTTATGGGGATGAAATCTATTTATCTTTTCCTCTATGGCCACTGGCATTTGTACAAATTTGGCTGTCCCACCGCAAAATTATATACATTGCCTTCTATATATTTTTTAAATTTAAATTCAAGTTAATGAAGATACAGTGTAGCCTTAGCTTCAGGAGCAGAACCCAGTGATTCATCACACATAACACCCTGTGCTCATCCCAACGAGTGCCCTCCTTAATGCCCATCGCCCATTTACCCCACACCCCCACCGACCTCCCCTTCACCAACCTTCAGTTCATTCTCTGTATTTAAGAGTCACTTAGGGCCAGCCTCCTTCTCTGTTTTTATCTTATTTTTCCTTCCCTTCCCATTGCCTTCTGTACTGTCTACTAATATTTTGTACTTTTTTCCGCCTTAAGCTTAAATAGTTAACCTATCTGAAGTTTATTTTTGTGTACTGTGTGAATCTGGGTTTGCATATGCTAAATTCTTCTGATCACAAGTGACAAAAACCCAACTCAATCTAGCTTCAATAAGAAGACTGGAGAGGGAGGGGTGCCTGGGTGTCTCAGCTGGTTAAACATCCGACTTTGGCTCAGGTCACGATTTCACGGTTTGTGAGTTCAAGCCTAGCGTCGTGCTGAGCCGTGCTAACAGCTCAGAGCCTGCAGCCTGCTTCGATTCTCTCTTGCTCTCTCCCTGCTCCTCCGCTGGCTGTGCTTTGTCTCTCTCTCAAAAATATATAAACATTAAAGAAAGTTTTTAAAAAATAAAAAAAAGACCAGGGAGGGAGAGAAGGTCAGAGTATTACATTGTCCCTTGCAGAAACATGTTCAGAGGGGGAATGGGCTGCTGGAGACTTGCTCTTAGTGACCCGGATGCCTGGGCTCCTTCCCCAGCCAATGTCATGTGCCCCGGAGTTAGGGGGAGATGTAAGCAGACCGATGTCTATTTCTGGTCTAGAGATTCCTGAAGGCGGAAGGTGGGTGGAATTGTCCGTGGTGTAAGGTATCTGGTCGGAAGGCCCTGGCCTAGGCCTTCAAACCCCGGAGGCTTGGAGGGCCATTCAGCATTCCTGTGGTGGCAGGAGGGACCACGGCCCCAGTTACCCGCTGGGGCCAACTAACGGGACATCCATTCCAGAGAAGTGTGAGGGGACATCGAATTCTGTTGGGGGCATTCATGAGGGGACCCTCAGCACAAAGGAGAGCCCCGCCCCAGGGAAGCCACACTTCCGGACGCTACCCAGAACACCAGGTCAGCAGACAGAAGCCCCCTGAACCTCAGTGTGAGCGAGGACACCGCGTGTCCCCAACTCTTCCCACACAAGTGGTCCCTTGAGTAATAATCTGGAAGAGCCAGGCCTTCAGGAGGAATGGAAGGTCTACTCTGCGCCTGACCAGGATTCTTGCTGCCGCCACCCCCCCCCCCCCAGCTTCCCTCACCTCCCCTACCTCTCCTGCCTCACCCCTGCCAAGCCTGGGTCTCCGGCTCTGACCTGATAGGCTGGGGGGAGGCAGGTGGGAAAAACTCTGAACCAGTAAGGACACTTGTAACTCGGATGAGACTGAATTTGGGGTTTAGGTGGGTTGTTCTTTTTTTTTTTCCATCTTTTCTGTAATTTTTTTTTTTTTTTTTGGACTGGGTTTTAATCATCAAAGGTGACTGCAAAGCTGTTGAGTCACCGTAGGCATCAGAGCCTGGGAAGGGGCCACACACCGAGACGTCTCAGTGAGTGGTCTCTCCTTATTACGCTGCAAACCGCAGGGCGGGGAGTGAGCGCCTCGAGAGCAGAGGTCCCTGGAGGAGAGGATGTGTCTGATGAAAGCTTCGGTGAGACGGCGGGAGGCAGGCAGGGCTCGGATCAGGCGTGTGCGGAGATCAGTACAAGCAAGGGGGCCGAAAGTGTCCTCCTGGCTGAGCCTCGGACGGCAGACTCTGCCTTGCGGGATGAGGGGCTCGCTCTGGGGAGCCCAGCAAGGGCACCGCGAGCGGGTGGGGCCCAGGGTTGATGCAAGAGGCTTTCAGACGGGGAGGCAACCGCATCAGAGTAGTGTTGCGCAATGACGAGGCTGCCCCAGGGGAACAGGATAGACGGGAAGGGAGGTGTGAGTCACCACCACTCTGGCCTGACCCAGGGCAGGAACCAAGGGACAGACTTCAACAGCAGATTATCCTGCGCGAAGGGAAGGACTGGGCCTGGCAGATGCCCTCACAGGCAGATTTAGTCGTTGGAACATAAGGCGAAGAGGATCTGGGAGGGGTGGGGTAGGAAGAAGTGGGACAT